TAACACGTCGACCAAGCATACTCGCTGGTGAGTATAACCTGAGAACCTCGTTCAAGATCATAGTTACCTGAACCATTGAAAAACTCACATGTCATGTGTTAGCTAATACAAAACTTTTTATGTGAGATATGAGGAGGAGAACAAAACATTGGGTGTGAAAACCCCTCTCTAGCATTTTGAAGGAAAGTCCCGAAGGGAAAGTCCAAAAAGGACAATATCTGTTAGTGGTGGACTTGAGATTTAAAACCTTGAGGGGAAGCTTGGAAGGGAAAATCCAAAGAAACAATATCTGCTTGTAGTGGGCTTGGGCCGTTACATTTTAGGACATACATTCCTTCAAGAGTAAGGTTTGAAACTTTTTTAGGCCCTCCAAAAGTTTCATGTGATTGTTTCATCATAGAAGATAGGCATTTAAATTTGGTTAAATCAAAATGAGAAAATAGATCAACAAAAAGTAAACGCAGGAGAATTTCACTCACAACTTTTAGTCGACTTAGACCATCAAAATCTGGTTTCTTGTTACCGAAGATCTCAAAGACCTCTGCTCTTGCTCGGTCTTGCCATTCTGAGTATGAACTCAATAATATCATCGTCCAAATTAGTAACGTAGCTGTAGTTTCTTGTCCAGCAATATAGAAAGTCTTGCATTCATTAATGACATCTTCTATGCTCATTCCAGTGTCTTTATTGTTTCCATGTCGTCCAATTTCATTCAAATTGGATTCCATGAGAATGCCCAACAGATCGCTATGCATAGCTTCACCTGCACTCATGGACTTCTCCCTTTCATTTATAATACCCAAGATCAGAGTTGTTATCTCCTTGCTTATCTCTTTCATTTTTTTGTTCGTCTTTGTGGGTAGGAATCTGCACAAAATCAATCATTATATATCTTTAAACTAAATAATTTACTATTTGTATAAGTCTAAAGATCTGTTAAGCATGAACAACTTTTAATTAGAAAGCTTTTACTATTATTTTATTATTATTTTTTTCTGTTTACCTCCATCCCGGAATAAAAATCCCCATGGTAGGTTGATTCACCAGAAGAGCTAGTTCAGTTTGAAGTTTGAAGATTTTTTCTCCTTTCTCATAGCTACTCCCAAATGCAGTTCGAGAAATCACATCAGCAGCCATTTGTTGTAGATAAGGCATTACGTCTAACTCACACGATCCGGTCTCGAAGACCATGCTTTCCCATTTGCTAACCATGTCATAGCAGCTATGATAGAATGCTGGTACCATAACCTGTAAGCCAATTTAAGGTATGTATGATCACCATACCCTTTAGATAAGAATAGATGTTCCATCTTAATATTCACTGCACAATATGATTCCAAGTATTGATGATAGGATATTTGTTTGTCATGCACAAGTATTCAACAACTTTTTCTGTGATAAGATACCTTAAGCTTTTGTAAATGAAATGCAGGATTGATTATCTTTCTGTGTCTCGCCCATTTTGCTCCTTCATGGTTTACAACTCCACCTGCAAACAACTTGAGAAGGGGATTCATAACTGGCTTTTGGATATCATTGATCAATGTAAACACAGTTTTAAGTTGTTCAGGGTCCATGATGTGCAATCTTGGTATGGGGCCAAACCACATAAATGAATTCTTGCCTGTTTCAGAACAAAATTACAGGTAAATTCAATGAACAGAAACGCAGGGGAGTTCACAAATCATTCGAGAAAAAGGATTGAAAGATGAGGAAGATGGAGATTGGGATATGTTATAATACCATATTTCTGGATGGTATGATGAACAGAAGGAAGAACACGTGGAGCTATATCATCGGAGAAGTTAATCGGCTTGGAGATGGCCTGCTCTCTCATGGCGGTTCTGTCCTTCAGGTCTCCATAGAGAATCCGGTAAGAATTTCCGGCGAATCCTTGCTGCCTTAAAAACTTCTCTAATCTCCTGGGCCTCAACCAAATCCAGTTAAGAAGTTTCCCTCCCAATACGACTAAACTCACCACAACTATCCAAATGGATACCATGGCTGTGCCACACGCCATCTCGATCGGTACAGACACAGTTCTGAACCTGAAAACTGAATCAGAGCTGAGTTTCTTGAACTCTCATTGATGGTGAAGGAGACGCAACACAACTCTGTTATTTATAGGACAACCACACAGTTTGCAATTGCATGGTAATGGTGCTTTTACTCTACTGGATGGTTTGTTATGTTTATAAATTTGGCAGGTTTATGAACTTGTAATTTAATTACTTCAAGTTTTCATTATAATAATTACTATTCACCATATTACATACATTTTCATTACAATACATGGGAAGATGAACTATGGTTAAAAGTGATAAATGATGGACGTTTTTAACTACAATACAAACACAGCCTGGCATACTAATTACTTCTGTTTTGTGGGGAATATGGAAATCATGTGAGGAAAAAAGTAAAAAACAAAAACTTTGCCTCTTAGCATTATGACATTAAATGTTGGATGTTGGTTTCTTAGGAAAGGTCGGTGGAAAGAAAACCTTTTCCTACCAAGATATGTTTTAAACGACGACGATACGTAACACTTAAATAAAAAGAACTTGATTTTCTAGGATGATATGAGCTCCATGTTGAAGCTAAGTGGTCATGAGCAAAGTGGGAACATGAGCGTGGGATGGAGAGAATTTAAATGAAAAACGCAGTAGAGACATTGCAACTTTGGCCTTAAGTATCGCAAGGTCCTAACCCATGCATGTTCGAGGGCCCCATCCAAAGGGAACACAAAGTTGGTTGAAGTTTTGATGCTTTAGAAGCGGGAACATGAGCGTGGGATGGAGAGAATTCAAATGAAAAACGCCGTAGAATCAAGGACATCGCAACTTTGACCTCAAGTATCGCAAGGTCGTGGCCCATGCATGTTCGAGGACCCCATCCAAAGGCAAAGAAAGTTGGTTGAAGTTTTGATGCTTTAGAAACTCCATTGCTGAATCTTTATGGTTTAAACTCATTCGCATCTTCATCCCATATCTCACGATTACCACGGTGGATAAGAACCACCGGTGCAATCAACATTACACGTAAACTCAAATTTCCAACTCTCGTTTCCTTTTTAACCGTCCGATTAAGCGTACTCGCAGGCGGATATAGATTTAGAACTTTATGTAAAATTATATTTACATGTCGTATATCAATTGATTAAGCGAGAGGTAGGTAGAAAATAACAGAAAGAAGAAACGTCTCACTTACCATTTTAGACGAGGTAGACCATCTGAATCTGGGTTGTTGTTACCAAATACTTCATGGGCTTCCTTTTTTGAAGTAACGAAGTATATTGACGATTGAGGCCTTTGGAAGGGAGATTCCCTTAGAACAACCGCAGAATTTCGGCGATTCAGGAATCTGGGACTCCACAACCAAGGTAATCGGATCTCATCTCATCTATCTAATCACATGTTGTTTCCAAGAATTATATCTCTTCTTGAATTTCTGTGTATTGAGTATTACAATGGGTGGATATATGTAGTCTCAGAATCCCATTTAGAACATTTGTTTTGCTGTGTTGTATATTACTATGATTGAAGTTAACATGACTCTGCTGCAGAGCAGCCATTGCAGATGAACTGTTTGAGAAAATGTCAATGAGAAACAAAACCAGTTTTCAAAAACTGTGGTTCATAATTTTGACTTATTACAAACATTAAGTATACATAGGGATGGCAGAGAACTTCCCTAGCTTCTGATAATGTGCGAACTCTACAGTTTGTGTAGTATGATATGAGCTCCATGTTGAGGTTGGACTGTTATAGCTGCGATGGGGGCATGAGTATACGATGGAGAAAGCTCAAATGAGAAGCGTTGTAGGATAATTGATAGCGCCATTTTTGCTTCAATCATGGCAAAGTTTAGTCCTATGCATATTCGAGGACCCAAACCAAATGGGATAAAAGCATTTGGAT